TGGAAAAAGAAATAAATGATAAAGAAATAATGAGTAAAAAGGGTTTTTATTGTCCCTTTAGCTCAGAGACTGAAGAACGGAGGTAGAGGTGGAGACTGAGATACAGGACCAGCCCTAACTCACTCTGACTTTACACACGATACCTACACCTACTTACACTAGTTATTTTGATTACATCTTTACATTTTATATATTTTTTCTATAACTTTGACGTCATAAACAAACTTAGCTTATTTATTTGTATTTAATTTTTACATTTAATTTTTTTTTCTATGACTTTGATTTCTTAAACTAATTCAGCTCATTTAGATTTCAAACAGTAAAAAAAATCAGTAAAGGTCCGTTTTTAATGCTAACAAAGCAAAAAGTCTAAAATGACCCCAAAATGTGGAGTTTCTGCTTCTGTCTGTAACATCTTCTGGAACAGAGCTCATTCAGTGGAAATCAGAGCTGATTCTGGAGGAGAAAAGCAGGAATTCAAGTCTAAATGTGAGATATTCTGATTAGTTTTAATTTCTTTTAGTAATTTATGTGATTCCTAAATACATTTTTGGAATTATTTTTATTTTATTGAGGAAAAACCAACAGTTTTATCATTTTTTTGTGTACAATCAGCTAATGTTTTCCTCATTTGAACCCTTGTTTTGACCCTCAGCCTCTGTTTTTGGCCTGAAATCAAGTTGTTTCCAGCTCATTAACACATGCTTTCTGGAGGAAAAAGGCAGAAATTCAAAGTTTAACATGAGATATTCTGATTTGTTTTTATTTACTTTAGCAATTTAACCGATTCCTGACTGAATTTTCTTGAATTATTTCATTTTCTTGTGTAAAAACTGTGGTCTTTCTATTATTTTAGGCTAAAATCAGCTGCTATTTTCAGAGGATTCTTCATCAAACTGAGCAGTGAGATACTTTAGCTGTAGTTTGTATGGAAAACAGATCATTAACATATCTTACTGATTAAATAGGCTGATTTTTATGGGATGAGTGAGCAAATCGATCCGAGATAGAGTGGCTCTCCGGGTCATGAGCTGAGAATGACAAAAACAAACCCACTCTCTCTCCTTCCTGCAGCTTAACTTTGATTTTCTGGGCTGATTTGGGAAGTGAAGCAGCTGCCTGCGGGCCTCCGGCTCCACAGGGAGCTCTGCTCCAGCCCGATCAATATCCAATTGATTAGAGGAGATTGCAGCACGATTAATATCCATCGCTCTTAAAAAAGCAATCAAAGGCATTAAGCTGCAGAGAGGACCAGAGTCTGCCTCCAACCGGCTTCCTTCTCCACTCACTCAGGTCAGATCACATTTCAGATGAGAGCTCCATAAGGGCTACAGGGTTCAGGCTGCCCTAAAGCTAACCAACTGACATAACCATAACCCTAACCTACTAACATAACCTAACCCTAAAGCCAATCAACTAACCTAAGCCTAAAGCTAACCAACTAACCTAATGCTAACCAACTAATTGAACTCTAAAGCTAACCAACTAACCGAACCCTAAACCTAACCAACTAACCGAACCCTAAACCTAACAACCTGCCCTAAAGCTAACCAACTAACGAACCCTAAACCTAACCAACTAACCTAATGCTAACCAACTAACGAAACCTAAACCTAACCTAATGCTAACCAACAAACCGAACCCTAAAGGTAA